GACAAATCTTGGCCATAGTTATCCCTATTATTGTGCCAAAATTTTGCGCCAACCTCTGTTGTAACAAATAAGGTAACTATGTTCTAAGTTACAAGATTCCTATGGAGCCTATAGGCTTTTTTTTCTTTCGAAAATAGCATTTTCAAACTTGGTTGTGACTGAAACGGTCAAAAATTGGCTCTTTCTGTATTTTTTTTTACCTTTCAAGTGAACTTTTGGTTCCCTTCACAAAAACCCTTGGGGCTATCTCATTGTGAAATTCAGTCAAGTTCTATTGTCCACTCTTTGAGCAGTGCTTTTGTGTATCTTATTGTCTTCAGAATTTTGGCTGCCTTTGGATGACTGCATGACATCTGACACTGTTGGTGATTTAAAGTTGTTTTCTGTAAAGTAAAGGTTCTCCCAATCCTTAAGTTCAATCTTTAGACTGTTGTGCTTTTTTAACACCTTTGCTTGAGTGCTAGCAAGTTCATTCAATGCCATGTACTTCACATAGAGAAAACTGTTTCCCTGGTTTGACTTCAGTCTTGATCTTAACATGTCAAATTGTACAACTTCTTTTGTGTGGCCCAAAACAATCTCAACTGCCTTGCCAAGTTTAGTCTGCAGTGAGTGGTTCCTGCTTTCTCATTGTCTTTCCTGTGTGCAAGACATGTCCCTGCAGTTATATCACTATCAAACGGAGGTTGCTCTTGATTCACATGTAGTACACAGAATGGATTACTTTCAGTTTCAGATTGTGTTGTTGTTTGAATTGTTTCTCCAACCCCTTTAGTGCTTACATGTAGGTGTTGTGTGTACCTTTCACCATCCTCGTGGGGAAACATCTCATCAGAAGTGAGATTTTCTTCATCTTGGACTAGTATATCATCATTTGCGGATGTCACCTTCACACTTATCAGAACTTCATTCTCATGATCATCTTCCTCATCTTGTCCGCTATCAATGTGTCCTTCCACATTTTCGTCATTCTCTTCTCTTTGTCTTTATTCAAAATTTTTTCTGCTTTTATTTTACGCATTTGCTTTGCCATTCTCACAGAGAAAATCTGTGGTTATTCGTCTGACTTTGTTTGGGTTCTCCTGGTCTTCAAGGTACAGCCAGTGTGTAGGAAGACAGATTCCCTTTTCAAGGCATTCCAACCAGCACTGATCCAAATAGCATTCCTCTCTTTTGAGTGAACTAGATCTGAAATGATGGAGAACAGGCCCACTAGGGCTTGTTTTCTGATGCTGCTTGGAGTCATGGAAGATTACATTTTGAACATCATGTTCCCACCAGATTCCCTGTCTAGAAGAAGGAAGTCGCTTATTTTCTCTAAGTGAGCCTGCCACTGCTTTTTGTACTTTTGGAGAACAAAGGGTTGGAAGAAGGTGTCAGGAAAATCAGGCAGGCTCCTGGCAAGCTTCTTCACAGAGATATCTTGATCTGCTCTTGAGATGCTGAATTGTTCTTGGAAAGCATGCTCTGCCTGCAGTCTGATAATAATAAGTCCAATTATGTGACTAGGATGTTGTGAAGACGTTTCCCTGGTGATGCCCTTTATGCTGTTAAAAAAATCTCTCTTCATCCTCAGAATTACTTGATTCTCCAATGGTTATTCGTAATTGAATAGGGGCATGCTGAACCAAACCATGCTAGTACTTCCCATATAATTTGCAATGGGTCATTATCTGGTCGGCTGAGTGCCAATAACCTCAAGACAGAGAATGGCATGGTAGAAACTCAAGTTGTGATACCCCAGGATCAACTGTGGACATCTGTCTTTTTCTGGTTTGTACAGGATCTCTGCCATCTGCACAAGGGTATCAATCAGCTGCTGCACTTTTAAGGGGGCTTTTCCACACAACTGTGAAGAAATCATGATGATGAGGCAACAAAGGTCAAAGGCTCTCTTCTTTTCTTTTTGACCAACAGTGAGATCTTTGCAGTCTTGTAAAACTGAGGCTATATCCTCAGTAACATGGTTGAGGAGTTCTTCTAAAAGTTGGTGATGTGGTTAGAGAGGTCATGCATTGGTGCACGAGGTAGAATTTCATAGTTACTGAGCCCAAGGTCTTCGAGTGGAGTCCTGGGTCCATGAAACAAAAGTGCTGGTACCCTGCACTGGCCTGCAAGTTCAGTTGTTAGAGCCTTCTGGTAGTCTTCTTTCCTGTTGCCATCAATTTCCAGCCCTCTTCCGATCACTTCTTTTTTCAAATCTTCTTTTTGCTAATTGGCCAAAGGCTTTGGATGTAACTCAAGTGACCGTTGAAATCCAACTCTTCCTTTCAGCACTGCCTGTTGACGTTCTCGGAGTGTTATGTGAGGACAACGGTATGCATGATCAAGCTCAAATGTGTGGGCAGCATGAATCTTGCATCCCGGGCAGTAGAAATATCCTCCTCGCTGGTTTCCACATTCAAATTCTAGTGAAGGGCAATCACCTTTACAGAACCTCATCACATCTTTTATAGGAATTCCATCTACATCTATTTCATACTCCAGGTTCCTAAGACATGTACACCTGGTCTCTGAATAGGCAAGTTGGTCCAGGTCACTATCACCAGACCTAGTAAAGAAGAATTATTTTGAAGTAATTGCTATACACTTGACTAACCGAAGCATTTGCAGTGAAATCTGTATTAAGCAGACAACATTTGATACAGGTGTCCTCTTAATACAAGTTCATTTTTCTGAAGATATGGGTGGGAAAGTCTGCGACTTATTGAGATTAGTTTTCTTTAATTTTAATATAGGTCTTACCTTGTAATTTAAAACAGCGCTATTCTCAAAGCATTTCAGGTCCACATTAAATCTACTACATCTTTGCAAAAAATGGTTGTCTGTGCACAGAAATGGGATAATTATAATCTCTGTCATGTGTCTTTTGAATTGCTGATTGAATCAATTTGTTATTGAACATGGTCGGAAATGTTACCTNTCAGGCCATTTAGAGTACGCATTTACCAAGATAAGGTAGTTTTTCCCTTCAGAAGTGGCAACATCAACATGGACACTCTTCCAAGGGCCAGAGGGCCATGTCCATGGGCAGAGGGGTGCTGCAGGTAGTGCATTCCATGTCTTGGAACACTGCAGGCATACACGGGTAATCTGCTCAAGATCAGCATCTAACTTGGGCCACCACACATGGCACCGAGCCATGGACTTCATTCTGGCCACTCCAGGATGAGACCAGTGGAGCTCCTTCAGAATTGGTTTTCTCAGGTTTGGAGGGATGATAACTCTCAATCCCCAGATAAGGCAGCCCTGTTCAATTGAGAGTTCATGACGTTGTTTGAGGTAAGGTTTGAGATCTGGATCATGGCATTCCCGAATGTTCCAACCATTCTGTGTGAAAGCCAACACCTTTGCCAGAGTCTTGTCATGAGCTGTATCTTGAGCAATCTGATGGGCCTTGACGGGGTGTTGTATGACTTGCTGGGCTGCAACATGGAAAATTGGGCTCTCAATGCTTGCATAATGTTTGAATTCAAGTGGAAGCCGGGATAAAGCATCAGCATTGGCAATATCACTTGAAGACTTGTACTTAATGTCATAACGGAAGAATGACAGCAGAATTGCCCAACGCTGGAGGCGAGATGCTGCAAGGACTGACATAGAACCTTGAGGTGAAAATATCTTGAGAAAGGGCTTGCGGTCAGTGTGGAGAGTGAATGTCCTTCCAAAAAGGTACATGTAGAATTTTGTTACGCCAAATACTATGGCAAGTTGGTGTTTATGGTGACAAACTTCTGACTCTTCATCAAGGGTAAGCTGTTGATATGTATTCTTCAAATCCAGCTTTGTGTATTTTTGTCCACCCCTGAGTTTGTGAAAGATATCCTCTGGTAGTGGAATTCGGTAACTTGGAACATTCAAATGAGGGTTAACTGTGATGGCATAGTTTCCACAGGACCGAGTACTCCCATCAGACATGGGAACATTCACCATTGGGGTGGCCCAATCACTGAATTCAACTTTACGAATTACAGCATCTTGCTCCAGGTGATTGTATTCTTCTTCAACTGCTAGCTGGAGTGCATTAGGCATGGTTCTGGCTCTGAAGAATTTTGGTGAAACTCCCTCTTTCAGTTTAAGTTTGGCAGACAGTCTTTAAATAGTTGCAAGTTCATCCTTGAATAAATCTGAGTGGTTTCGAATGACAGCATGCAGCTTTTGAGTGACTTCAGACGAAACTGAAGTCTCAGTAACATGTATATGGAAGATTTCGTTCCAGTCCAAACGAATTTCAGTGGGCCAATTTCTCCCCAGAAGTGAGGGTCCAGCATCAGCAACAACAGTGAGAGGAAGGGCTGCAGACTGGGACTTGCATCTGACATTGACATCGAACTGACCAAGAATGTGAATGGGGTCACCAGTGTAAGCATGTAGCTTAGTGGTGTTAGGCTCAAGGGGTATGCCCTTGAAATACTTAGCGTGAGTCTCCTCAGAAATAATTTAAACACTAGTCCCTGTGTCAAGTTCCATTAACACAGACTGACTGTTCAGTTCAACTGGAACCTCGATTCCATGTTGACCAGCTGAAATGGTATAAAGAGACATGGAAAAGGGGTCAGCTGGCTGATCATATTCTGTGGTTTCATCCACTGCATTCACTCTGGTGGATTTGCTCATGCAGGCTTCAGCAATGTGACCCACTTGTTTACATTTATGACAAGTAGAATTTCTGTACTTACAGTTGGATCGTGGATGTCCCAGCTTACCACAACTTAAACAGGTAGAATTTTGTCGATTGCCTGAAGAAGGTGGTACTTTAGGTGGTCGCTTGTTTTCTTCTTTGTAAAAAGGCCTGTGGCGATCACCTTGGATACTGTAAACCTCGTGCACTTCATCAGAACTGGGAAGTTGGGGATTGAGTGGAGAAACGGTATTCTCTGCAGCTTCTTGACCATGAGCT